GGCTACTCGTAGGCCTACTATACACAAAAGTTTTCAGTTTTATTGATTTTTCATACAAACTTTCATCCTTTATTTCACCTCCTTTAAGATTTATTTTTGTGACAAAAAGTTATCTGTCTCCTTTTCCTAGGACCCATCTATGTCTATACCAAAATACATCAAAATTAGTATAACGGTTTCGTGTGAAAATGTAACGAACAGACGGACAGTTCCATTCGCATTTATATATTTTTAAGTAGATTATTAAGTATAACATTTTTATAAAAAAAACCGACCTCAAAAGATCGTGGAATTACATCTATTTGGCACGTTTTATTGGACTCGGTTACCGGAAAGTTCGCGAAACCGGAATGATCCCCTAGTTTGCCACCCTTAGCGGTGGAATATTTTCTTCAAATTTAAATGACACCTGCCGCTCACGCGATGCGCTCCTCCTGCCGCAAAATGGCGGCTATTTGGTTTCGCAAATTAGAAAAGGATTCAGTTTAAATACAATTTTTAAAAATAAAAATTATTATTCTGCATTGCTAAATAAATACACTCGGTACTGCAACAAAAACATCTCAAATAAAATGCAGTAATACACCGCAAATCCTGCACTTAAAAAGCACTAATGACCATTATCATGCCATTATCATGGAATGATGTTTATGGCAGTGGTACGTTTTTTTAATTGTATATTTTTTTATTTAACTTAATAATCATAAACACTTAAACATGTTAATTTACATAGCATTATTCGAAAAAGTAACTGCGTTAGAACAATAGTTGTTTAATTTTGAAATCAAAGAACTGTTATTTTACGAAAATAGATAATCTTGTTTAATATATTTGAAGTTATATAGTTTAAATATGTATTAAATATTTTATTAATTTGTTTTCACACTACACACACTTATACCTGTATGTATATATTGCAAAGATTATGTAAGTATTTATTCGATATAAGAGTACACGCTGCAATAACACTATACACACTCATGATATAAGTATTTACGTAGTTTATTTTATTTATTTTCTGTTTCGGGACGCATACGTCCGTCACTTTCACTCACTCGGCTAGGGCCCATTGAAAACCAGCGTCACAACCTAGCCTTGGTTGTGACTTTAGCTGAATGGGATCCTTTTGTACACGCCACAGCCGCACACATGTCACTATAGTATTATGTAACTTGTCGTTGAAATGTTTTTATGCTGTTCTTTGTGTTATTTCTGTTCTAGTTGTATTAGTCTTTCTTTTTGTGTTTTTTTTATATTGTGGCGTTACAATAAATGGTTTCTATTCTATTCTAATAAAATTTTTGGTGTACTTGGGTAAATATGATAATATTCCGTTTGAGTGGTTCTAATGTTTACCATGAAATTACTCCTTAAAGTATAGTTTATAAACATTTATATTCAGGGTAAACTTAAAAAACGCAACTTACGGTATGTTTTCAATAAATAAACACCGACATCACCAGCCCAAACAATAACACACACGATTGTCGTGACGTATTTTTGAAGTTGTTTATTTTTTTTAAATGACAGACTCAGGTATTAAAAACTTTATGGTTTGCTAGAGTAGTTACCGAAATAGCAATTAGTATTAGTTCTTTTACCTGTTATAACTTCGATATCCGAGAAATAGGTATAAAATCGTGGTGGTGTGGTATGCTTCCAGAGACGCATGAATCGCGTGAGCGGCTATACAGAGGTACCCTCTTTCCAACAAAAAAAGAATCATGAAAATAGGTTCACGTGACACACAAAAAAGTACAGTCGCATTGATACCTTCTCCTTTTTTGAAGTCGACTAAAAATAAAAACTAGCTTTTGACGTGATAATTTACAATACTTAATTGTTATTGTTTAGGTGGTACGAATGTTATTATTTTATTTATTTAGATGTACATGCTTCATTGTTGACTTTGGGAGATGCAGGTCAACAAGACGAGACGCACTTTCTTTTTAACAAAATATTGTCTATTTTCAAGGTGTTTAAAACTTGACTCGGCTGTATATAGCATCTCTAGTTTGCAAAAATTAGATAAAAGCGATAAGAAAAATGTTAATTTTGAGAAGTTATAATATAAATTATACAGTTTCAAAACATTTACGCGTTAGTACAGTTTTAAAGCATAAATACTTTAAATTGAAACTTTGGTGAGTTACAAAAAAGAGCAATTAATAGAATTATCAAAAATACGAATATTTAACCGACTTCAAAAATGAGGTTCTCAGTTCGACAGTATCTTTCTTTGGGTATGTATGCATGCAATGTATGTATGTATATACTCCAGAGTTTGTGAACTGATTTTGATGATTCTTTTTTGTTGGAAAGAGGGCACCTCAGTAGTGGTCTCATTTAAATTTGAAAAAAAAAATACCACATCTAAGGGTGGCAAATTAGGGGATGAATATGGTTTCGCGCACTTTCCGATTACCGTTTTCAATAAAACTTGACAAACAGATGTGAGTCCACCAACGTTGAGGTCGTTAATTTCATAACATACCTGATTACCAAAAACACCAACACTGCATGCCGAAGAGACCTGGTCAGCGCCAAACCAGACGGCAGCAAGCCTCGGTGGCACGTTCAGAATGAAGACCTGGGAGATAGCCACCACAGTTTGTCCAGTGAAGCCCAGCCAGAACCTGTCTTGTGGGACCGAAAATACTTTCAGCCATGCTCCCGCGCATGTGCCAAACGCACCGATGATTGTTGTCACACGAAGACCCTGCGAAAAAAAAGAAAATAACGTCAATATTGTGCAGTCTTCATTGAACTTGGTAGTAAACAAAGAAGACACGACTTATGAGTTAATTTGAATGTTCTCCAGAAACTTAACCTACGATCACTTGTGTCGTACTCGCTCGGTATAATATATAGAAGTCACATGTGATCGTACGTCAAGGAGCTTCTATTACATGAATGAAATAAAAATAATAGTGCAAAACATTACATATAACATTAGGTATTGAAAGACCCGCTTGAGCCTAGTGAGCCATTTTCGATTTGTATGGTATGTTTGTGTCATTCTCTAATATCGCGGAAAAATGCCTTATTGAGCTGTTTAAGAGTGAAATTAATAGTAATTATTTGTTTGTGTCTCAAGTATGAATGTTTTTTAATTGTGTTCTGTTTTTTTCTTTTTTTCCGTTTGTCCTTGTATTATGTTATTTTCACTGTGCTGTTTAATTCTTTTGTTTTTAGTTTTGATTGTTTTTTTTTCTGTGTTATGTCATTTGTGGCGTGCAAACAAATGAATTTTCTTCTTCTTCTTCTGTTTAGCAGAAGTAGTATTTCATATCATTTTAATAAATTTTAATTTTTCCGTTTATCGAATTGATTTAGATGTTAATCGTTCGTCGTAGTCCAGCCACTGACCGCAAGATGGCAGCATGTTTGAAGCAAATTTCAATAAAATGAAAACGTCGTAACTTGCAATAAAGGTATTAAACTTTTAACGATATGGCTGGCGACTGCATAAAGTATAAATTGTATTAGCAATCCAGAATTTGTTCCATCTTTTTAAATTGGAAACTATGACCAATTATTATCAAGATTTCGTAGTGTTTATAATTTGATTCTATGCATTTTGGCGACAGCGGTTCCGATAGTAATCGATGCTTATGACACTTAAATTGTTTTTTTGTTCCGTGTTGAGGATATTACAAGAATTCGCACAAAGCTTTAGTAAAAACATTTATATGGCGAACGGCTAAGGAGTAGAATTCCCTGCCTGCAGACTCATTCCCCGAACGCTATAGCTTGGTACTTTTGAAGGTGAGAGTTTATAGGCAATAATCAGGTGTGCACGCTCCATTGGTATCCATTGACCTCATCCTTCCCTTGCTTTTGTAACAAAAAAATCACGTGAACAAATTACGCATTAAATTAGGGACCCCAACTTCATAACACTTATTTCACTTCTCTGAGTAAGAAATTACAGGCACACGGGACTTGTCAACTTATGTCTTAGGGTGACTGACGCAGTGGCAGTGCCCCTCAGATCTTTGCGATTTAAAGCTCTGAGTCGCACTGCAACTGTTATGGACAGGCGTGTAGCTTACCATCAGGTGCACGACTTGTTCATCCCGTCACTTGATATTATAAAAAAAAGAGCTAGGGTTCCTTGAAATCCTCCTTTTGCGGAGAGGTTGTGTCGCAAAAGGAGGCCGCGGAGCGGGTGCGCGAGGACGCGGCGGACGTGCACCTGCTCCGGCGAAGATGTACGGGGAGAAGGCCAAGCAGTTCGCTGCTCGCCTGATCCCCTAGTGAGGCCAGCGGACTCTAGACAGGGACTCCGGACTCACTCGTCTGGGTGGCGGGTACGGAGGACAACCGACCCGCCCTTCCGTTGGCGCGGGAGCCCTGGCGTAAGCTAAGGCGGTGAATGTTCACCGACCCCACGGCGCCGACTCAACCGACGAGAGGTAAACCCGGGGGGGGTTTTAGTGGGGTAGGCCCTCCAGTCTGGAGGGAGAGTCTATCTACAAAGATTTCCCCCTGGTCAAAAAAAAGGTTCCTTGAAACAGGGTAATGTAATAATGCGTTTTCAGCATGTATACTATTTTACAGATACTCATAATTCGCATGTTGAAAGCATTAGCTACTTAGGCACTTGCGGACCATAATGTAACACTATCAATCACTCTATTACGTGATGTCACAAAAAAAACTCACAAACTAACTTTACGTCTTGAAATATTCGCTTCATCTAGAAAGTATTACAAAGATCGCAATGAATTGACGCAATATATCATTCGTGTGATGGGTGATAGAAACTTCTTAATGAACCTTCGCGTCAGAACTACGCTGCACGTCCCGCCAGCGAAGTTTGCGCTCCAGGATCTCTCCTGTTCTCCGTCCAATATTTGTCCGAAACAAATTACTGTCAAATAAGTAAGGGCGCGTTCAAATTAGCTAGTTGTTAGACGGCGGCGGCTGCGCGACTATTACTTTTAATGCAATTGCAAACTGCCTCCGTGGCCGAACGGTTACCATGCCGGACTGCCACGCAGAGGTCCCAGGTTTGATTCCCGGGCCGAGAGAAATAGTTGTATGGCCTACAATTATTTCTCTCGTTAGTTTGGGTGTAATTTGTGGTTGTCTATGTGTGTGTCCATGGCACCCGCGACACAGGGTTTCCCTAGTGCGGGGCTATGTTGAGTGTGTGCGTTATTTATTATTATCATTATAGAATTTCTAGAAGCGCTGCAACCGCCCTGCAACGGCCGCCGCGCGACAGTCGCGCTGCAGTCACGTTCAGTTGCATTCACGGTTAGTGAGGTGTATATATCAATTTTCCAAATTGACCACGATGGATGAAAATTAAATTGAAGAATTTATAGAGAATGTAAAACAACACACAGCAATATGGGATAGCAGTTCCATCAGTTATTACTAATATATATACATATAACAGGCAAGGGAAAATTTGGTCGCACTTCAGCAGCGCGACTGTCGCGCGGCCGCCGCGCTAATTTGAACGCGCCCTTATACTCGACCAATTTTATTTTATTTTATAATATAAAGTGACGGCACGGACAAGTCGTGCACCTGATGGTAAGCTACACGCCTGTCCATAACAGTTGCAGTGCCACTCAGAGCTTTAAATCGCAAAGATCTGAGGATCACTGCCACTGCGCCTGTCGCCCTTAGATATAAGTTGACAAGTCCCATGTGCCAGTAATTTCACCATTAAATTAAAAAAGCACGATGCGAATGAAGCTTCTTTTTTTATTAATTAAGATAATAATAATGTACAGGTAAGGTAAAAAAGACAATAAGAGCTTAAGTACTAGAAAGTAAAACTATGATTTTTATATTATATGAATAAAATTGGGCAAGGTGCCCAAGATGCTGGCAGCGTTCCCCCTTTGTATTGCTATGCTAATGCGTTGGGCAAGGTAGCTGCCGACCCTTGGGTTTCCCAGACAGTCTTTTGATTTTTTTCTATAAAATTTTATATAGATGAACGCTTCGTACTCGACATGTTTTCGTTCGGATGTCAGACGGAGAATGGGAATAGACCCCCAGGATCGACGAAGAATCTTTCGACTTTTAAATAGATATGAATGCTTATAAACGCTTTGTAGTGGAGAATTTAGTCAAACTAAATACGGTGACGACATTTGTACTGTCACATACATCAGAGAGTAGAAAAATTACGTAATTGTTTATATGTTTGCTTCGTAGACTGTCAAAGACTTTAAATTATAGTTTAGAAAACTCCCGATTACTAACCGGTAGTAACCTTTAAAAAGCAAATAAAGTTATCACAAAAATCAATTAAACCAAGAGTTTTTTTTAATCTGGTTACATGGATACGGCAACGCTGTAGAGATAGGAGAACGAAAGTAGTAAAATTAGGTTCTCTCTATTTGGCTCTTTGTTTCTTACGTGTCCACTAAAAACTTAAATAATAATATTTATGAAATAATTTTGTTTCGAAGCTGGTAAGAACTACCACATAATATTCCTGCAGGTATGCAGTAATGTGAGCATTACCGTGTTCCAGTTTTGAAGGGTGCTGGTAAAATTACAAGCACATGGGACTTGTTAACTTTATGTTTCAGGGTAATGGGTACAGTGGCAGTACCCTTCAGATCTTTGCGATCTAGCTCTGAGTGGCAGTGCAGTTGCTGTGGACAGACGTGTCGCTTACCACCAGACGCGCGAATTGTTCCTCCCGTCGCTTGAATCATAAAAAAAAATCGTTTTCATACTTTGAATTACTGAAAATTTAACCTAATCTGACCTTGAGCATGGAAACCTGCTTTTGAAATTATCTGGAAATTCTCCACTTTCCAGGATTTCCGAAACCACACCGAGTCTCCGAGTCCCTAGTACCTAAAGTCGAAGGCCCTAGAACAGACGCTATAATGCCAAACGAATTTCTCTACACTATAAAATATCTGGAATAACTTTATCTAGACGTCTGCCTCTCACTGGATTAATGAACACAAACTATGCGCTTCCATCAGTTACGCGCTTAACATACATCTTTTGCTTATTCCACAACCATCATTCCGAGAATTCAGATGGAGGTATTAAACATTCTATAAATAACTCTGCCTTTTCAGATGTTTGGCGGTCAGCCTACTTTGCGACTATACGTAAAAATGATGTTATTGAAATATGATGTTAGACGCTAAAACATATCACGTGACGGAACAATTCGTGAAATCAGTATTTGCAAGCAAGGCCGCTAGAACCGTCGGGAGAGATCAATCAAGGGTAATGGACCGCGTTGAATCGCCGCTACGATGTTCAAGAGGCACTTGTTTAGCAGGAATATAAGAAAAATCGAATAATAAAGATATTTGAGATACACGATTCTCAATAAACACAACGTCACTTTTGAATCGATTTCCTGTCGGAATCGGATATTCTGGTTAACGATTTATATGGTTCACATCCCTAGCTACGTTATGATGACAGGTTTCGGGCCTACATTACTGCGTTACGGTTGGTGCTGGTGAAATTACAGGCACATGGGACTTGTTAACTTATGTCGCAGGATGACGGGCGCAGTGGCAGTGCCTATAAGATCTTTGTAATTTAAAGCTGTGAGTGGCACTGCAGCTGTTATGGACGGGCGTGTCGCTTACCATCAGGCGCACGATCTGTTCGTCCCGTCACTTAATATTATATTTAAAAAATAATTAAGATGACTGAAGGAAGAGTCTCTGAAGTTAAACCAATTTTTATATTTATTTGAAGGATTCTTAC